CTGCTGACCTGGAACTGCTCCCAGAGCACTTTGAAAAATCCTCCCAGGAGATTTAACAAATTACATTTGGAAGGTTAAATATTTAATAGCCTGCTACTGATTTCTTCCAAATGGGCAAGTGTAGTAGCTGTTATATCCTATTTATTTTATAACTGAAGTCATCAGCAATATTTGCAGATCTGTTTTGACAGAAATGCCCTGCTACGTCTGCAGGAAATAAGTTGATGTAGAGTGCATCACCTTGCCCCCCCTTTCAAGCTTTCTAACAATATCCCCTTTTTGCTCAAGTTCCAGGATGATTTCTGACTACCGCAGCTGACATGAAATGAAGCTAAGTGCCAGTTCTAAACAGACAAAAGGAAGTGGTTCTCCATGCAACAGGCTGCAGAGCTGTGGAGCTTCTTGCTGCAAGATGCCGTGGATGTGACAGCTTACGTGAGTGCAGGAGAAGACAGGATAGGTTTAGGGAAGAGTGGTTCAGTGAATAATGTTGAATAGATTGAAACTGCGGCTGGTTCATGAAAGCCTGGAGCTGCAAAGGGCTGCAGGATAGCATAGGATCAGGAGAAGTGTCACCATGTTTGCCCTTTTCTTGTAGCTTTCCCTCAGCACCTGTTTTTGGCCACTGCTGGAGATGAACGGACTTTTGGTCAGACCTAGGATGACCAGTCTTAAGCTTCCATGACAGCCCAAATTGTCAGAGGTACTAGGCATGCAGCTTCTTGATGTACTGGCGTGAAAAGTGTGTGCGCGCTTTCAACAATCAACCCTTCTAGATGACTGATGTGGGCTTTTTTCCATTTCTAAGGTGGAATTTTCTGGAGCTTACATACTCTTTGTTATTCAAGACTGAGCTTTACAGGCAGGCACCATCTGGCCCTTAATTAAAAATGATAAAATAAAATTTTTCATTAACATTGCTTTTGAGCAGAAATTGTTTGCATTTCTGTTTTTTTTTTCTTTCCAGGAGGTATTTGTTTTCCTTGAGAACTTTCAACTTTAATGGAAAATTCAACCTCTCCCCGCAATGCTTAGATATTCCAATATTGCTCATAGTCACTAACGGAGAATTGAGGTAGTCCAGGTTTGGGGAATATTTTTGGAAGAAACATCACAATTTTCAATGAAGAACGCTTCTATCTTTCATGCTCTTCTGTTCTAAATATTGGATACACAGAATTACTGATGCAAATAAAAAAAATCCCTCATCAATTCAGATAAGACACATCCCAGGTGTTTTTTTTTTTTTTCCTTAGTAAAGAAAGGAATGTACAGAAGTACTGTGCCTTGGATGTTTATACAAGATT